GGTGCAGAGCGCTCCCTCTTCCTACCGTGGGGAGTTGAATCCACTGTCCACGGTGATGCTGCTGCTGTCCATGCTGTCCAGGCGTGCCGAGTGGGTGGTCCTCGGGTGGCTGCTGCTGTCAGTTTCTTTGGGGGCAAGGAGGGTGAGGTTCTTCTCGAATTTCCTCTGCAAGTCTCTTTCCTTCTCCCTCTCAAGGAGCCACTGCATGGTGCCCACATCATCTCTGTTTTTCTCCTCCTCGGCGTTTTTGTTTGCCCCTTCCTCGGAGTCGTCGTCATCGGAGACGTTGTAATAGTCAAAAGAGGCTTCCTGGTTGCCCCCGGACTCCTGCTGGCGCTGGAGGGCTGGCATGACCTGTGCCGCCGGGGTCCCCAGGGACGGCTCCAGCTTCTCGCATCGGCCTGGCAGTGTGTCGGCAGGTGTCTTCGGGTGAGATTTGAGGAGGGACAGGCTGGATTTGTGATAGCTGTTTACAGACAAGGTGCTGTGCAGAGGTTTGAACAGTGTGTCTTTGCTGAATATCTCTTTCCTCTTGTCCAGGCTGCTGGGCTCGGCGCCGTGGTGCTGGATGAGCCGCCCGTTGGCCATGCCTTCCGCTGCTGCGCCCGAGGCAGCCGGGCCCCCGCCTGGCCCTTTGGGCGACTCCTCCTTGTGGCCTCCAGGCTCCCTGGAGGAAAGCGGGGTCTGCCTATCCGACAGAGGCAGCTTTTTCACCCCTTCCGCCAGGGTCAGAGTGTCATGGTCCTCTTTATTCTTCCCCAGGGGCGACGGCGCCGTGAGCACCGTCTCGCTGGAGGTGTTGCACTGGAAATAGTCGTCCGTTGCTGTTTTTGTCGGACAGGAGTTGAGTTCACCGTAGGACGGCAAACTCTCCGGTGGTTTGCCTGGCTCCATGAGGCTGCAAGCACTGGGAGGTTCCTTGCCGCTGCCGACTATTTCTGGAATACACAGCTCTTTATAGCTTGTGGACAAAAGGTGAGCCCTTTGATGACCGGCAGTCTGCGCAGGCCTTAGAGTGCTGTCGTCAATGTAGGACTGGATGGGGGTTTGGTCATCCTGGCTGCAGCCTTCGGCAAGGTCATCAGGCGTCCCCAGGGAGGACGCGCCCAGAGGGCCCTTGGAGTTGTCCATGGACCTGGACCTCTCCTTGGCTTTGTTGGACCTCTCATTCCTGGACCGTCGGTCCTGGGTATGGCTGTGGCTTCGGTGCACTTTTGAGTGGGAGCTGCCCCTGGAAGGTTCGGGAAAAGGCATCTCAGTCCTCCTTTTGGCCAGTTCCCCGGACACGTCCCACTCCGGCGTCATGGGGAAGTGAGGCTCGAGCACGTTGGGGTTGCTGTGCATGATGAAGTTCTCGCCTTTGTGTTCGATGATGAAGCACCCCTCCCGGGGGGCCCTGGTGAGGGGATCGCAGAAGTCATACTCCCTGTCCCCCGGGATGTCCAGGTGAGAGCCGTCGGACGGGTCTCCCTTGGACGCTCGCGTCTTGCTGTGCGACCGAGACTTGCCGTGCGACTTGCGATGCGTCCTGCTCTTCTTGCTCCTCCCGCTGTGATGCGCGGAGGAGCCGGCTTTGCTGCGATGCGCCTTCTCCTCCTCGAGCTTCTTCATCAGCGCCGTGTGCCGCATGACGTTCTCCACGGTCAGGTCGGGGTTGATGCGCCTGATGATCTCCACCTCCACCTCCCGAGGGATCGTCGTGGGGGTGTCCTCGTCCCGCAGGGGCCACTCCTCGGGGGGGAACTGCGCGGAGAAGTTGGCGAGCTGTTTGGTCTTGTCTTTCTTAAAACTCAGCCGGAACAACTTGAGCCCAAACTTCTTGGACTGCTTCTCACCGTCCTTCGGTTTTGAGAGGGTCTCCGTCTTGTAGGAGAAGTTGACAGTGCTTTTGCTCTTCTCAGTGGGTGGCACCTGGCAGAGGGACGGCGGGCAGTACGGGTCCTTGCAGTCCTTGGCGGGCTTCCTCTGCAGAGTGGACGCGTGCATGCTGTGCATGTCCTCTCGGCAGCAGTGGCAAGAGTCGCAGTGGTTTCGGGGCAGTGTCCTTTCCCTGACGCAGCCTGAGGCAGAGGGCGTTATGGTTCCGGGCTGTGGAGAGGTGCACTGGGACCTGTCGGGGATCCGCTCGTCCAGGTGGTACCATTTGCTGTTAGTCCTTATGAGGGAGGGCGTGATGAAGTACGTCTGCGGGGTCACGATGAAGTAGCCGTCGGGGGTCGGGTAGATCTTCCTCTCCCGCACCAGCGTGTTCAGGGTGTGCCGGAGGATTTCTTGGCTCGGGGTGGGGACACCTGAAAGCGAGAGAACACACTTGTGAGAACGAAGAGGAAGCGCCGGCTCCCGACGGTTCAGCATCTGCTGTGGGCGGAACGTCCGTGTCCCGCCAAGATTCACAGAGGCAAGCCCCGGGCCCCGACGTGACGGCCTCAGGAGGTGGGGCCTTAGGTTTAGAGGAGGTCACGAGGGTGCAGCCCTCAGGATGTGACACTGTGAGGAGAGAGCAGAGCCCTCTCGCCCTGAAATGAGAGGATGCCGCTGTCTACAAGCCGGGAACACGCTCCTCACTAGACACCAGAGGTGCGGGCGCCTTGAACTTGGACTTACTTCCCGGCCCGCAGAACTGTGAGAAATGAATGTCTGTGGTCGAAGCCACCCAGTCTGTGGTATCTTGTTACAGCAGCCCAAACGGACTACGACAAAATCCTATTACTTTGGCCAAGCTTCAAGGTAGTATCATATAGCAAGTAAACAGCATTCAGAGGTGTTCATTAAGTTTAGTGGGAATCCCGGTTTTCTCCGATGACTCTTATGGGCATTACCACCTATGAAATGGGAAAATGTAAGAGCTGGGAAGAGGCAGAGGGAAGCTGGGTGAGGTAAGGTTGCTACTGTTGTTACAAACCTTTACTGAGCTGAATCATTAAAAAGAGAATATTTTTAAATGAGGGGAGAAATGAAAAATGTTTTACACGATATGATATAAATGAACAAAAAAGACTTTTCCAATAGAAGCAACTAGGGAAACAGGGTTGGAACAGCCCTCGTGGTATTGGAAAACAAATCTAAAATACATAGAGGCTACCATACATACCTGGAGGTACTCCACATATTTTTTAAGATTAAGTTTACCCAATGAACTGAATTTTATAAATTATATAAAAGGGCACCTGGACTTTGACCATGGTTTATGATGTAGTGCGCTCCAATTTTCAAATCATCACCTTCGATTTTGAATGTGGATTATAGCCTCGTGGAATTCAGATCAGAGCTTCCTTCCTCTTGGCATAAGTCAGAAGGATGGACGTGATTTTCCTAATTCGGAACCAGAGAGCCCTAAGAAACACACTCGAGAGAGCTTAAGACCTTCTACGTCTGTCTGATCACTGTTCAAAAAACGGCCATATCTGCTAGACTAGAAATTTCAGAAGAAAACCATAGGTACTCCTTTGTGCAGTAGCTGATACTGTTTCCGAAGGGTTGTATGTGCGTGCTTACGCCCTGTCTACCTTAAGAGACAGAATTACGAGGAGACATACTTAAGACAGTGTCAATTCTCCAGGCCGCAGTGCATTTACTTTATTTCTCAGGTGTTCTCCCCTCCTCATTGCCAGGCACACTGAGGGTGACGATATATTACAAGACTGACCTGAATGACACAGTCACGCGTCACTCAACTACAGTGATGTATCCTGAGAAATGCATTGCTAGGCCATTCTGCCATCGCCCGAACATCCCCGAGGGCACTTACACAAACCTAGACGGGACAGCCCATGCACACCGAGGCTGCATGGTGTCTGCAGCCTCTTGGTCCCGGGCTACAGGCTGCACAGCATGTTACTGTGCTGACCACTGCAGACGACTTAACACAATGATAGTATCTGTCTATCTAAACGTAGAGAAGGTCCCGTAAATTATGGTATGAAAGATAAAAAATGGGGGGGGTCAGGGGACTGGGTGAAAGATGGGAGGGCGTTGGGGGAGGGGTGAAAAAGCTAAAAGCACAAATTGGTAGTTACAGAACAGTCACGGGGATGAAAAGTACAGCACAAGGAATGTAGTCAGCAACACTGTAATAGAACTACGCATGCTCTCAGATGGGTACAAGATTTATTGGGGCGATCACTTAGTAAGTTACGTAATGTCCAATCACTGGGTTATACACCTGACACTAACATAATATTATATGTCAACTATCATTGAAAAATAAAAAGTTATTGTTTTAAACGGGGCACCTGTACAGGACACTTACCATGAATGGAGCCCGCAGGACTCGACGTTGCTCTGGGTGGGTCAGTGAGTGAGTGGTGAGTGAATGTGAAGGCGAGGACATCACTGTAGACTTTAGAGACACTGTCCCACAAGCCCTCTCCCTGTTTCCTTCCCCACAGGGTCAGAAATAGAACATCGAACTGTCGATGCCACTCCATGAACAGGGGTGTGGGCTGGACTGATTGGAAACACCGAGAAGAAGCTGCTGGGTAGGGTGCAGATCACCAACATAGTGACAGTCAGGAGGGACTGGAAGGTGGCCTGAGGATCAGTGGGAATGAAAATCAGGATGGAGAGAGAAGGAACATAGGGGTTGCGATGGAGATGTGGTTTGGCTACTGCACGGTGGTGCGGTGCTCAGACTAAGGAACTTGTGGTCACAAAAGGAGGGTGTTAAACATGGAGAAGGTGCAGAACTGAAGGCTCAATATTTTGACTTTGGAAATTTGGTTCCATTGACCTATTGGGCACAAAGGGCTCTCTATGGCCTTGAATTGATGGAAGAAAGAAAACTAATCTATGCTTTATGTCATTACAACCTGCAAATATTTCCCAAGTCCAGGGACAGGATGGCTCCACACTGCCATACAGAGCTTCCATAAAGGGACAGTGGCACTGAATACCTGTTAAGGTAGCTCCCGTGGACCTGTGTCCCTGTATAGGACCTCAGGTTCTCGACAAAGAATTTACAGCAATGTTTTCTGAAGACCATCTGACCAGGTCTGGGAGGCTTCTGAATATGCAGCAGTGGGGGACGGGCTCTTCTGCGCCGAGGCAGGTCAGTGGCTGACAGACTGGGATGTAATCTGTGCACTCAGAATTGAGGTGCTGTGAGCGAGAGGGAATCTATTGCCAAGTCCCACAGAGATCGCTCCCATCAGAGAAAAAAATTCTTCCTGAACCACATGTTCTTCCGTTTCTTACAGGAAATTCAACTCCATTATAATGTTATGGGGACCACCATCCTATATATGGTCTGTTGTTCGCCAAAACATCATATGAGGTGCGTGATGGTAGTTTGGAAACAGGTCAGGTTGAATCATACGGCCAATACTCAACGGTGTCTGACCCCCCCAAAAATACAACTTCAGTGGAGACTGAAAGCTTGGGCTCCAGGGCCAGACTGCTGGATAGAAATACACTGCTGTTCATTGATTGACAGGCTGAATTAGCCCCCACCCCCGGCCATTCATATGCTGAAGTCCTAACCCCCAGGACCTCAGAATGTGATCCTTATTTGAAGATAGAGTCTCTAGAGCTAATCAAGTTAAAATGAGGTCATTTGGTGGGTCCTAATCCAATATGAGGACTCAGAAGGGAAATCTGGACACAGAGACATGCATAGAGGGAAGACAAGAAGAGAACCGGGAGAAGACAGCTATCCACTAGCCAAGGAGACAGTCCTGGAACAGATTTTTCCCTCACAGCCTTCAGAGGGAACCAACCAACTCTACTGACACCTTGATCTTGGACCCTCAGCCTCCAGAACTGTAAGACAATATATTCCTGTCCTTTAAGCCACCTATACTATGGTATGGATGCTCTACGAAACTAATACAGCTGGTATCATCTTAGGCAACTTACTTAACCTCTCTGAGTCTCTATTTACTATCATCAAGTGTAGATCATAATAGTACCTATCCTCACAGGGTTGCTGTGAGTTTAAATGAGTTTAATGTATGTAAACAGGGCCTGACATACAATGAGTTTTTTGTGGNCTGTGAGCGAGAGGGAATCTATTGCCAAGTCCCACAGAGATCGCTCCCATCAGAGAAAAAAATTCTTCCTGAACCACATGTTCTTCCGTTTCTTACAGGAAATTCAACTCCATTATAATGTTATGGGGACCACCATCCTATATATGGTCTGTTGTTCGCCAAAACATCATATGAGGTGCGTGATGGTAGTTTGGAAACAGGTCAGGTTGAATCATACGGCCAATACTCAACGGTGTCTGACCCCCCCAAAAATACAACTTCAGTGGAGACTGAAAGCTTGGGCTCCAGGGCCAGACTGCTGGATAGAAATACACTGCTGTTCATTGATTGACAGGCTGAATTAGCCCCCACCCCCGGCCATTCATATGCTGAAGTCCTAACCCCCAGGACCTCAGAATGTGATCCTTATTTGAAGATAGAGTCTCTAGAGCTAATCAAGTTAAAATGAGGTCATTTGGTGGGTCCTAATCCAATATGAGGACTCAGAAGGGAAATCTGGACACAGAGACATGCATAGAGGGAAGACAAGAAGAGAACCGGGAGAAGACAGCTATCCACTAGCCAAGGAGACAGTCCTGGAACAGATTTTTCCCTCACAGCCTTCAGAGGGAACCAACCAACTCTACTGACACCTTGATCTTGGACCCTCAGCCTCCAGAACTGTAAGACAATATATTCCTGTCCTTTAAGCCACCTATACTATGGTATGGATGCTCTACGAAACTAATACAGCTGGTATCATCTTAGGCAACTTACTTAACCTCTCTGAGTCTCTATTTACTATCATCAAGTGTAGATCATAATAGTACCTATCCTCACAGGGTTGCTGTGAGTTTAAATGAGTTTAATGTATGTAAACAGGGCCTGACATACAATGAGTTTTTTGTGGTTTTTTTTTAATATATCTTTATTGATTTCAGAGAGAGGAAGGGGGGGAGAGAGAGAGAGAAACATCAATGATGAGAGAGTCACTGATCGGCTGCAGCCCGCAACCCGGGCATGTGCCCGGACCAGGAATCAAACCCTGATCTCCTGGATCCTAGGTCGATGCTCAACCGCTGAGCCACGCCCGGCTGGGCCAGTTCTTAATACATATTAGCTATTAGTAGTCTCAACTTTGGGTCAGGACCCATGGAAACCTAGATTGCCTTCAAAGTACACTGTATAGCAACTTAGAGCAGCAGCGTAAGCTGAGAAATTTGGGTTCCTCCAATCTTTCCAAAACTATGGAGGTGGGATAGGAACACATTAGAAATGGCCTGGAGTCCCCAAGGGAAGAGAGGCCAGGAATATGACATAACACACCGCTGTGTGCGTCACCACCTTCGGAAGGCATCCTTAGTGACCCAGGTAGAAAAGGTAACATCGCCCATGAAGAATGTGTTATTTCACAGAATTGTTTGTCGACCTGCATGCTTTCCTTTCCATCTAAGCTCTACTCCTGAGAAGCATACATGGTTTTCATGCAAATGATTTCAAGACTGGGATAATCACAATTTTTCCTTAAATTTCATGAGAGTATCTGCACAAAATAAAAACAAAGTCCCACTGAATTACTGGTATAACCTAAACCGTATTTACTCAATTCTTGAGAGCCAGCTTAAAACAAAAAGTGCCTTCACATGAGAGAAGCAACCTAAAAGAGCTGCTAAGCTCTACTGACAATCAGGACCTTCTGCTGAACAACTTCAGGGGGCGCCATTCACACAGAATTCAGTCCCTGGGATGAGAGCGCAGTCTCATTCTCATGAATGGCACCCCCTGGAGCTGTGTGGCACAGCCATCCAGATCACAAACCCACGTGTAAAACTGAGTGTAGCTTATGTGGTAGTACACATGCAATCAATATTAAAATAGGAAGAAGTTTTTCAAAAAATGGTAAGGCTCATTTATAAAACTTCACAATTGAGTTTACTATGTATGCGCTATACTAAAGGAAAGGGCTCAATTCATAACAATAGCTACTACTACAAAACAAAACTTTCACTGTAGTCTAGAATTTGGTGATTGTAGGCCTTCCAAGTGATGGTCTCAGAATCCTTACAAAACTATGTAGAGTCATGACTACAGGTAATCATTCCTTCCCATTAAGAATAAGCTCTCTGATTGTCCCCAAAAGATGGAATGAGAAGGAGTTTCCACAGAGACTTTGTATCTAAAATGTTTATGTCTTGGATTTGCAAGTATATCAATCCAATTATGTTTAATTTGGAAAAACAAACTAGAAACATTCCCTGTTCAATCCATTTTCTATACTTCTACCTGGGCATTTTTGAAAGCTTTTCCTGAAAGTCACTGATATTGATGACGATCATTTTATCATTTTATTAGTAATGACTGCTATTTTGAATTATCTATGAAATCTAGGTTTCCACTAGGTATCCGGTAGGGGTCACCCATCACCTGAAAGAGATATGGTTGTGATGGATATCTGTAACATTTGCATGTCCCATCACTTCCAGATTCTACCCCCGAAGTTCATCATGAATTCAGATGTTGAGAGTTTAAAGAACAAAGACAAGCTTTTCATCCACGCTGGCCCCTCTCTTACCTTCCTACTGAAAGGGAAGGGGTTTGCCTGAAGCTAACAAGGACAGACAAACAGTCAAACAGGGAAGAACATTCAGAGGTCATAAACTGCTATAAAACTTAAGATAATTTATAGGTTGTGAGGGTGGGTTCCTGGAGTTTTTAAACAGTACACATAATTTCACACATATTAATTGGAAACCTGAAAGGGAAAATCACCAGGCAAAGTGGGGAGACTGAATATGGTCAATCACTACTTAGTTTAGAAGCAGTCTTTCTGCCCTCTCCCCACATGGGGTCATTTCTCCACACCTTGACTTGGAGTTTGGCAATGAAACGCTAGTGGGTGTGGCATGACCAAAGGGCTGAAGAGCCCTTGTGCAACTGGGGGGGCTCTCTTGTGCCTCTGCCGCCTCAGTGCACAAAACAGGACTGTGCTTGTCACCTCTTTCAGAGAAGATGGGGTACAGGTAGAGCAGAGCCACCTGGCTGGGACCCGTCTGAACTGGCTGACTCCGGAGAACCTACAAACACATTAGCTAAATAAATGTTCATTGCTGTATGCCGTTGATGTTTTGGGATTGTTTGTTACCCAACTTTTTTGCAGCAAACCCTAACTGATACAACCAACAGTTTATATAGGATGTGCCAAAAAACGTATACACGCTTTAACAGCTGATAACTCACTGAATCGTCCCTCCTTTTCAGGTTTAACTGATTTGAAATAACAGGTGAGGCCAGACTAAGCTTTGAACAAAGAAAATTTATCCTAAAGTGCCACTAAACTTTTTTATGGGGACATATAAAAGATAAAAGTTTATGGTACAAAACCAACACAGTCGATGAACTGAGGGCGCACAAACACCAAACGAAATGATTCTTGATGTTTGCGATTCCACTGCTTCGCGTTATCAGCAGCGCCTGGACCAGAACGGTCATCAGCTTGAAAACAGGCACTGATAAAAAAAAATATTCATTTCTGTAGGTTCTTTTACATTTTGAAAATGAACTGTATGTTAATAAACACTGACTTTATAATCATTCAAGGTATATATACATTTTTGGGGGGCACCCTGTATTTACTAAGGTCTCTTCTCAGTTGAACGAAAAAACACGTGGAACATTTGTGTTTAATGTAAGCTCTATTTCAACCGAGGTGTAGGCTGCATCCAAACCAAGCTGGCAAGCTGGTGGCCCAATAACATGTATTATTTGACTTGCATGTCATCGGCATACACGTGGTAAAATGTGCACGCACACGACTGCCAATATTTAGGGTAAAGTACAGATGGCACATAAAGCTGAATTTCCAGATTCCCTTGAAAATGGGATTTGGCAAGTCTGGCAGGGCCCTACATTTTTGGGGGGACAGGGAATAACATACTGCGGCTGAGCAGCGGGCCGCCTCTCCCGAGATGGGCTGCAGTCCTTAGCTTACCCCCGCGCCTAACACCTTCTAGCACCAGAGGCGTCCCCGGCCCCCACACAGCAGCTGGGCTATTGCCTTCTTATCATGACCGTTAACAGAAAGCATTTTATTTTTTTCTCTCGCCATGAGACCTTAACTAATTTACCAAATATCATCTTCTTAAAGCTCATCCGGCCATGACGTAAGCATGCCAGACAAGTTTATTTTTGACATCGCTCTCTCCTCGGTTGCATCTCTCAGGACTAGAACTTTCCGTCACTTCTGATTCGCTCCCACGAATCCTGACGTTCGTGTATTTAAAGGAGGCTGTGCTGCAGAGGTCACACGGAATCTCGGGAATTTCTGCCAGAATTCCTCACGGATTCCAATCTAATTTCTTTTTCTCGGTGCCAATTAAAGAAGTATTACAGCTGAAGAAGGGAAATTATTTTTGAAGTGACACGGGTGCTTTAATTTTTAATCACAAGACTAAAGAACGTTTCTGGTCAGTTTCGGCAAAGATTTATTTTTCTGTTGGGTTTAAACACGAGGGGAGGTGTCCGTTCGCAGTCCCTGCGCAGCCAGAGCTCGTCCCTTTGGGAAGTGCTGCATGCGTCTCCCATTACCTGGGAAGCACGTGGTCAGGTGCTCCATCAGCGCTTCTTGGGTGACAGGTTTTCGTGCCGAGTTCATTGCTGAGATGGCCAAGCAAAGGATTTCCCCAAGTGGAATAAACTGAGATTGACTGATGGGAGACATACTGATTGGTGATACATCACCTGCAGAAAGACAATTTTCAAGTGAGCGGCTCATTGAAAGATCCGGCCATCTGTCACTCACACACCTCGCACACCCACGCCCCTCCCATGACTCCTGCCTAGTCCCTGTATCATGAGTACGGTCACCTCCAAACACTGACGCCCTTCACACAAGCACAGCCCGTCCACTCAGGTGGAAAGACCTGCCCAGAACAGCGGAGGCTCCAGTGGCCTCGACAAACAAAACCTGCCTTTAAAACCTGAGCGCTAGTTTAAACGGACATATTACCAAAAGGCTCAAAACCGTGAGACTTTGAGAAATGATCTTGGCTTTTATTAACTTGGGGCCGATTTCTTTATTAACTGCCATCCACATCTGGACAGATGCATCTGTGGTAACTTGAGGATTCATTCATTCATTCAAATGGTGAGTGCCCCTTAGGGTCAGGTGTCTGCTGGGGGCTTGGGAACTTTAATAAGGCTCCTTCCCCAAAACACCTCAAGGAGTTTCTATTCGAGTAGAGGAGACAGACAAGTAGAGTTCAAGTGCACCAGAGGAGGCTGAACACCAAGGCTCAGGTGTGTGTGTGTGGTGGGGGGGGCGCCTCAGAAGCAGGAAATGAGAAGTTTTGCTGAGGGTCTGCAGCCTGAATCCAGGGCTGAGGTAGGAGTGTGTGGGCGGCTGGGAGGGGAGGGGAGGTGATGGAGGGGGTGGTAGGCCCACAGGTACGTAGCAACCGTCAGAGGAAAGAGCTGGGTGCTCAAGGCCTTGATGCTATGAAGGATGGTGAGCCACAGAGGGAATTGAAGGAATGACACAGCCAGATGCGAATTCAGAAAGATGACTGTTGGCTGCATAAAGAACGGAGCAAGGGAGCAGGGAAGCGCAGATTCCATCCAGGAGGGGCTGTGGCCTCCTGCACAGGTTTGCATCTAAAAGATGCAAAGGGAGACTGGGGCTCTGGAAGAAGCAACAACAGGCAATGCACATATGTCTTCGTTCCTGCCATCTCCACGTCACAGTGTGGTGATTTTCAAGTTCCACTCCAAGACTTCCCAGCCCCCAAGAGAGGGGGAGGCTGGGAGAGCAGGAAAGTCTGCTCCTGACACCCAGGTGTCCCGTTTCGTACTTTGGGGTTCTGTAAGGTTTCACTTGAATAAAGGCCCGACAGAAAGAGGGTGAAACCTATGAGCAGAGTATCTGTGAGCTTCTAAGTTTATTTCCCACATGTGCTGACATCATCTCTGCTCTCCTGTTTCCTAAGCATGATTCCTCTCTTATAATCAGCTACCACGGCTAGCCAGCACCGAGACTCGGGTCAGCCTGCAGCATTAAGCAACACCATCCCCCGAAGGGGGTGGACCAGCCTCCTCACTGTCAGGCACTTAGAGCTGTGTCCAGCCCTACCTTAGTTTGATGGGAGTCCAGAGTCCCTTTGGGAAAGAATGTGAACCCTGCTTCGATGGGCTGAATGGGAAATGGTTTGATGGACGAAACCAGGCAACAGGGCCTGGGAATGAAAACCACCAGATGAGGGCTTAAGTCTAACAGGTGCACCAGACCAATCATCAGGATCCCAGAGTCAGAGGCCTCAACGCCCCCTGCCCCTAGCTCAGTTCAACGCTCCCCTCTGTCCTGCATCCCTTGGCGCTCCAATCAGCTCTGTGGAGGTGCCTTTCTCTGCCAAATGCATATGAGGAGAGTAAGATACTTTCCCCAAAACCAGAGAGAGCGAGGAGAACTGAAATTCAAAACAGGATAAGGCCAGCAGAGATAAAAATCAGCAGAAGCCAGGAACCAACCTAACTTAGAACCCACAAACTTCGGGGCCTTTGGGATGTAAGAATCATAAAGAGAAGGCCTCCGACTAGGGAGGGGGTGGGAGTGGGGGGGACAATGGGGGAAAAAGGGGGACATTTGTAATAGTTTCAACAATAAAGATAAATTTCAAAGAGAGAGAGAGAGAGAAAGAGAAGGACCTGAGAGATTCATGCAAGTATCTAATGGGATAGCAGTAGGTGAAGCTAGAACACGGAACCGCAGGCCGGTCCTGTGGATATGAGTTTTGCTCACTGGCTGGCGACGCTCAGTTCATTTGGTGACTCAGAAATGGCAGAATCATGTGACTGGACCACTTCAGTAGGCCAGTGTGCTACTCTCTGGAAGAGTAGATTTAAATATTTAAAAAACGGTTGTACCCTTAAATTCAAACAAAATCTTGTTCTAAAGCCTAATGTGTAGGAGATGGACTAGTGGGGCCGTGAATGAGGAGAGGGAGGAGTTTGGAGCTGCACCTGTTCAACTCCCCACTCCCCTTGGGGGGCCTGCAGCTCAGCCACGGCCACTCCAGAGATCTCTCCTGCGACTCCTTCCCTCCCTCCGCCTTCTTTCTGCAGGAGAGGACAGGCTTCCCGATGAGTTGCTAGGTTGGCCATGCGGACAACCTGCACAATTAAGGACTTCTCAGAAGATCCACAATACAAAATTACTAAATCTGAGTTTTTTAAATGTAGGTCTATTTTCTGATTTTGTATATGTTGCAGGGAACTTGATCTCTCTGTAAAAAAGAAATAACTATTAGCAAAATTAACTAGTTTAGGTCATGTTTGCCCTTGTGCTTTTAGCTGAAATTATTTGTTTAGTTTAACTGCCGTCTTCTAAGCGAATGTCTTTTCGTTCATTGCAGCCACATTTAAGAGACAGCATGCTTTAAGTGTCTGGATTGCATTTGCTTTGAAAAGCAAATAATAATAAAGAATATATGCAATAACTTTTAACTCGGAATATAGGACAAAATGGAATTTGGAGGCTTTTAGTGACTATCTCCATGTCATCTCGTGTGTATACTGCACTCAGATAAATTAATTTCCACTCCCTTCCCACCCAGCCCCATCGGCAGTCCTGTTTACTCTGAGTCCAAATGCTTCCTGGATCTCTTCCCTTTGCTCCATCCCTGCTCCAAACCACCACCACCTCTGCCCTAGCCCATCAGATCAGCTGGGTGCGCAGCGTTCCCTCCTGCCGACACTCCCTTCTTCACAGAGCAGCCAGGCCTTCTTACAAAAGCATAAACACGCCACTCCCCGCCTAACACCCTACAGTGACTGCCAACTGCACCTAGAAGATCGGACTGTCAGCTGTCCGCTGGGACCTTCCCCACAGCTCCCCACCTGGTGTCTGAAAATCGCTTGGAGGTGTGGAAAAACCACACACACTGGAACTGGTACCAGACTCTCACCAAGCTGCTGTCTTCACTCCCTGAGAGTGGGTGTGTGCGTGTGTGCGTGTGTGTGTGTGCCCTGGTGTACTGTCTGTCTCACCCACAAGAATATAAGCTCCTGGACAGCAGGAAACATGAGCCACGTTCCCACCACTTTCCCAGTGCCTAGAGTAACGCAGAGCTTACATCAGACACCCCATAAAAGTTTGTTGAATGAATGAATATCCATTTATAACATTATAACCCAAGAAATTTCTCAGGGTATTTAAAGGACTATGACTGTATTCATATATTTGCTCAATACCTAAAAAACAAACAAAAATTAATAAAAGACCAACTATACCTAATTTATATGCAATTTCTAAGACTCCCCTTATTACTAATAATAATTCCCCCAAATATAGCAGTTAAAATAGAAAACTAATATATGCTAAGGAATGGTTTAGGACATGCATTTAAGATCTGTACTAAAGAAATCATAGGTATCTTTCAAACAACACAACACATAATTCAAGTTTACCACAATTTTCTGTGGATCTTATATCAGACCTGCTTAATGAGTCAACTAGTCATTGTTAAAATATAGTACCAGAAAATTCTTCCAACTGGGCCACATTCACACTCAAAGAAAACAAGGGGCTCTAATACTGCTAAAACGCTCTTGGTCATCAGAAACTACCACATTTTGCATAAACTATGAATTGCTGCTTGTCTATAATTTATAAAGTTTCCTACTGTCAGAATTAGTTCTGACACATTCGTAAAGACAACTCATCTAAAAGCTTATAGCTACTTTGTAGGCTAACAAATTCTTTCTCAACTGCAGTAATTCTGTCCGACTGCTCTAACAAGAAGGGGTAAATAGGTTGTATTTCAGCTTTATTTTCTTACAAACATCCATTTAGGTACAGTCCTCGGGGAACATTCGTCAAATCCAGGATGATTCAGATAAAACCAAGCACGGTGCCTTGGACAGAGTAAGCGTTCCATAAATTTCCAGTAAGTGAATTTAAAATGGGAGAAGACATGAAGATGTTACCACGGTAAGTACACATCTCTGCTTATAAGGGCATTTAACCTCAAATGCAAAATACCTCAGTGAATACTTGGATATTGCTTTCCTCTAGGGTGCCACTTAGCTGAGAGGCATGAGGACCGAAAGGAGTTTGCCCAGTGGTAAGGATGGAGACCATGGGAGGTGAGAGAGAACACGTGCGGAGCACAGAGCAGCATGCCGAGCCCGGGGGAGGGGGGGGGCGCTGGGCAAACTGGCACCACTGGGGCAGGCCGGTGGTGAGATGGAGAGAAAAGCAGAGGCCAGATCCTGGTTGACCAGAAGGCTTCAGTCTTATCCTAGAAGCCAGACCCTGGTTGACCAGAAGGCTTTGATCTTATTTTTGATGCTGATGAGGAACCATTACATGTATTTATACAGAGGAATCGCATGACATAGTTGCGCTAGAAAATCACTCTGTGCAACTGTGGGGAGCAAACCAGTGACCATGACAATCACCCAGGCAACTGACAAGAAGGGTCTGGACGACCGGCGGGAATCAGGCGTACGTTGACTTCTCTGTCTTTCACTGTCTACAGCTCGTTACCAACTCATAGCTTCCTCACTCACATACATGTTTACTATTTAAACCCCTCCCTCTTCTCCTGTCCAACTTTTGGCCAGATACTTTAGCTGGAATTATTTCAAAAAATTATCTCTCATATAATTCATCCTTTCAAGAAATACATCTGAGTGCCTTTTACATACCCAATACCTTTAGGTACTCAAGCTCCAGAACTGTCCCTATCTTGATTCTATTTGGGGGTAGGGAAACTCTACAAACCATACAGTAATAAAGCCCTGTCCTTTATGAATGCCATTTTCTTTTTCGGTCATTGAGTTCTCGGTACTCAATCTTTGCATACAAGGGAGGACAACAAGACTCCTAGGATGTGACTTTCAGGACAACCTCCATGCATCCCCTCCCAAAAGATACCCATAGCTCTCCAAAAGACACCTACTCAAAAAGCAAACTTAAATCTATCTTCTTCCATCTAAAGTGCCCATCTTCGTACTAATGTATAAGGAACCACAACATAATAAATCACAACCTTGAAGTACCCCAAAGTCCATCTTTCACTTTAGCCTTCTTAATATTTTTATTTTTTGTTAATCTTCACCCAAGGATATTTTCTCCATTGATTTTAGAGAGAGTGGAAGGGAAGGGGGAGGGAGGAGAGAGAGAGAAACATCGATGTGAGAGAGACACATCAACTGGTTGCCTCCTGCACGTGCCTGGGCCGGGGCTGGAACATGCAGCCCAGGTATGTGCCCTTGACCAATAATTGAACCCTTGACCCTTCAGTGTGTGGGCCGATGCTCTAACCACTAAGCCACACTGGCCAGGGCTAGCCTTCTTTAAATAATCATTTTTTTCAAGCACCAGCATTCCTGTTTCTTTCTCAGTACTATTTTTCATCACAAATGTCAATTTATCCTGTCCTCTGGATTGAACAGTTACCTTTGACTCTAAGGAAGTTCATGAACCAAAGCAACCTAACTATACTTGCAAGTACATATCTGAAACTGCACTGATTTGTAATTGGGAGGTTCCCCATATGAATAGGCACTCGGGAGATGCTGTGAAAGTGCCCCGTCTCTCACAACCACGTACAATGACCACTCTGCGTCTGGCTCCTCATCTGAGACGACAGCTTGGGTGAAACGACTTCAAACATTCCTTCAGGCTCTCAAATGCTCAGATTCCACATCGAGGCAGCAGAATTCAGGCACAGAAACACAACACAGGACTCCCGTCTAGCTGCATTTCCATCTTGCTGGAGACACGATTTTAATGCTTATCCAATCTGAGGAAGTAGGCTTGAATTTTAAAAAGAATAACAAAATATGGGGCTATTAATTTTTCCCTTTTAATAAGGCTTCATAATTTGCACTTTCTAACTCAAAGTCTTGTTCAGCTTTGTTCCTCGCGACCAAAGTGAGCCTGTTTTTGTTCCCTGAACTGCCAGAATTAACACTAAAGTTAAAATTATAGATGCCAATAAAATTACCACATGCAGTAGATGCTGTGACTCATAAAAATGGTCCAACTTGCTTGTAAAATGTGCAGGCGCACAGCAACAATACAACCCTATTCCTTTCAACAAGCCAGTCACAGAACTACTAATGGGCCAAGTTTTACCTTAAATACCCCTGGGCCTGGGGAAATCCTAAGCTCTCCGAGGTTAAGTAAACAAGTTCTCTGATGCCAAGCATCAGACAAATCTTGTGTTTTACAATTTAGTTCAATTTATTAACCCCAATTTTATGTATAAATGTCGTTCGGTTCTTTTAACAGACGGCCTACTACGATAATTTTTTTAAAAGTTGTTCTAAAGAAAACACGTTCCCTTCCTCTGCGCCCTCGCAGGCGGCAACACCCTTTCAGGGCAGAGCGCGCAGCGCCCATGAGCCCACAGGCCGCTACGTTCTAAGCAGCTCTCCTGTGAAACCAAATGACTGTACTTGGCTTTCCAATGTTTGTATTTGAAATTTAAAAGAAAACTGCCACTGAAAGAAGGCACTTTTACCCATTTATGGTGTGTTTGGTTTAAATGCCACTGATCTCAGAAATTTAAGGCGGGGCCCTCATTGCAAAAGTCAGTGGAGGGACAGCGGACATAAAAAGGAATTTCAGGACATTCAGAAATTTTCTAAGAGCTTCTCTAAAGTTTGTGAACGTTTTATTTCAACCCTTGATGGGTCTCTTAAAGAAGATCCAATTCCTAAGCTATTATTTGAATAAATTATTTTAATTCGAAGGACAATGTAAGTAAGCAGCTTTGGTTAGTAATACTGAAGTCAATGATGTCCGGTGTCAGCTCTGACTTACTAAGAAACTTCTAATGAGAGTAGGTCTGAGCAAGAGCCAGAGAGATGGCATAGCTTGTGCACACCCACCCACACCCCCC